TGATCGCAGCAGCCCCTTGCCTAGGAACGGCTCCAGGCACGCAGCGGAGGCAGGATGGGAACTGGGGCTTCACAGAAACAGCTGCTGAATCCAAAGGATTGGGAATGTTTTAGGTCTACGAAGGCACAGCCCTCCCACCCTGGGCTATGGGGAGGCCCGAGCGCAGAGGGGAACATTCTTTTAGGTGCTAAGGGGTTGGAAATGCGTGTGGAGGTAGAAGCCTGTTTCCCCTCACCCCTCCTCTATTTCCTAGAAATCCCAGGGAGAGCATAAGGTGGAGCTCAAAGGCGCTCTGCTCCGGCTTCACAACTCCAGGGCCTGGGAGGGAGCCCACAGGGGTGGACAAAGGCTGCCAGAGGGAGCAAGAGTGAGCCGACTGCCTCCCCATAAGGCTGCTGGAGGGGAATGAAAGAAACAGAAGACCAGTGTTTTAACAACATCAAAGTCCACCCGAAATGTTCTTGATGGGACGTAGTGCAAATAGAGAAACACCGCTCATGCTGTAGAAAAGAGAGGGCTAACCTTTCGGGCTGCGTGGGGTGGGAGAGGGAAGGTGTGAGGACAGCGGAGCTGAACTCGGTGCAAGTCTCTGTCCCAGGCACTCCAGGCAAGCTACTCATCCCCTGTGGAGGGAAGGATCTCCTGTAGTGATCTCTGGGAAATGACATGCTATCCCACTTATATGATAACTAAAAGAAAAGAGACCAGCCCTCTCCCCTCCAGCTACACAACTGCCCTAACTCAAATGCAGGAAAGATACCCGGAGTTTGCCCAGAATGCCGCTTCGGGATTCGACACGCAAACAGATTTCAAGTACACAGAGCGCACAGTGTCCAGGGACTGGAGCGGCTGCCACGGTCACCGACGAAGAGGGACGTGACACTTAAAGTTACCCAGGCGCTCCTGCGCTCTCTCTTCTTTGAGCTCTGGACGCCGTCGCAGATGTTGGTCAGCGAAACGAACGCCAACACTGTCTTCGGGCAACTGAACTCAGCGCAGGAGCCTCGGCATCACTGGAGTCCGGCCCCTTGCTTATCCTTCAGAGCATGTCGGTCCTCTTCATAACAGCGAGATCTGAGCAGGTCTTTGGCAACTCGGAATCAGTGGAAGGCATGGGGATGGCCAAGGTGTGTGGGAAAGGGCAGAATCCTGCTGCGGATCCCCGTCAAAACGCTGTCACGACAGCACCTGGGTTTCAGAGTAGAGTGAAAATGGCTAAAGTTCATCCTTGGCATTAACGAGATGCTGCAGCGGACGAACTGGTATCTCATGATCTCTCAGCAGCTGGTCCTGCGACCCTTCGTGGCCATCGGGGGTTCTGTCGCCTGAAAAGTCCGTGAGAGCGTAATCCTCCAGCAGGCCAGCTTCCACTGCGCGGCGCCGGAGCCCCTGGCTCCCCAGGAGCCCTTGCATTCCCACATAGCCCAGCTGACAGAAGGGAGGCAGCTTCTGACGGGTGAAGGCAAACAGGAAACAGGACTCTGTGGGAGAAATAACAAAACTCAGACTCGGCAGACAAGAACTCCTGTGAACTCCTGACAACTCATTTGGAACAAAAGGATGAGGGAAAATGACTGGAGTGTCCCATCCGGCACCCTGCTCCGAATGGCAGTAGAATAATCGACTCGATTCTGCAGAGCTTGGGAGATGCAGGGTGGGATCTCCAGGCTGCACTCCGAGAGGAAAAGGAGATGGATTTGAGTTTGTGTCCCTCTGTCATCTTCTTCGTACCATGGGATTGCTTCCCTCTGTGCGGCATGTGGGGTTCCTGCTTGAGATCAGCTCTTACGTCCCAGCACCCCCGTTTCCCATGGGAAAGCAATCCCCTCATCAGTACAGGAGAAAAGATCTGGCACCCGATGGCACAAAGGAACGCTCAGATAATGGAGGAGGAATGAAAGCCTGTATGGGCATTGGTGGCGGTGGCTACAGGGGTGGCTCCTGTGAGAAGTTGCTAGAAGCTTCCCCAGCTCCAAGTTAGACCCGTCTCTGGCCATGGCCAAGACAATTAATGCCTCTGTGGTTGGCGTATTTAAGAGGGGAAAAGGCTGTGAGTCTGCGGGGTGGGGACACCCACGCTGGAGCAGGCTGCTCCTGAAGGACTGCACCCCACGGAAGGGACCCACACTGGAGCAGGTTGTGAAGAACTGCAGCCCGTGGGAAGGACTCATGTTGGAGAAGTTGATGGAGGGCTGTCTCCTGTGGGAGGGACCCCATGCTGGAGCAGGGGCAGAGTGTGAGGATCCCTGCACTGAGGAGGAAGGAGCAGCAGAGACAGCATGTGATGGACTGACCACTACACCCATTCCCTGTCCCCTTCTCCGGTGGAGAGGAGTAGGTAGAGAAGTGGGGAGCAAGGCTGAGCCTGGGAAGAAGACAGGGGTAGGGGGAAGGTGTTTTTTAAGATCTGGGTTTATTTCTTGTTACCCTACTCTGATTTGATTGGCAACACATTAAATTGATTTTTCTTTCCTGAGTCAAGTCTGTTTTGCCCGTGACTGTAACTGGTGAGTAATTTCTCCCTCTTCTGGACTCAACCCATGAGCTTTTCCCTGTATTTTCTCCTCCCCATCCCACAGCAGGGGAAAGAGGGGAGTAAGCAAGTGGCTGCACAGTGCTTAGTTGCCAGCTGGGCCTAAACCATGACAGAGCTGCAGGTAGAAAAGGGATTGAACCAAACCTCAATCACCTCTCCCCAAATCCGTGTGTGGCTGGAGCAGTCTCTTTCTGGTGGTGAGCAAGAGCAAAGGCTATTTGGGAACATACAGCACTGACACCTTTTACCACCTGGGGAGCACATCAAAGAGGTGTGACTGGTGGTGAGACCACCAGCTCCTCACAGGGAGATCTCAGCTATTAGCAGAAGAGATCACCCCTGTCGCGTGTCCCTCGCAGCCCTCCTCCTCTCGCCACCTCAACCCCACGCTCCAATTACCTGCAAAGAAGTTGCGCAGGTCAGTGCTGAGGCAGTTCTCCAAAAACCGCCTCAGCGGCAGGATGTGAGCGTTGGGGGCCGTCCAGTCCGTCAGGAAGTCCTCCACGATGTGATGGACGGCATCTGGGCGGGGGAGAGGCCAATCTGGGGGCCGAACTCTCATCTCGCGCTCTGCCAAGAGAACATTAAGGGAATTGCTCAGAATCAAAATGGCATTAAAAAGAGCTTGGGGAGTGGAAAGCAGCTACGACAGCTGTTCCAGCTTTTGTCCTGACGTTTTTAATCCCTACCTTGCTCTCATTAGCAATCCTCTCTGCTAGCTCTGTCCTTGAGAGCCCTACCACTGCACAGCTGCCCTTTGTCCCTGCCCGCAGTACTTCCCGTCATTTCACTCCTATTCCCCCTGGGTCGGGACTGCCAGATGGGCTGGGCCATGTGCAAGCTTTAATGCTGCTACCCATCACACTTCTTTCCATGGAAGGCAGGCCAGACCCTGACCCTGGGATTCTGGAGGTGAAGATTCAGCACACT